TCGTTGAGATCTATGAAATGTTTGTTTGTAACCTTTTAACGTGACCATATTATTTTAATGGCCTTCATATTAATATACTTACGTCTGAACTTTGTGATCCAACTTTCAGAGCCCACTTGTACATTTAATTAAGAGCCAGAATATATTATTTTCAATGAATAGTTTGCAACTCCAAAAGAGAGTGGATCTTGCAATCAATAGTTAAAGTGACAAAAGAATTCCACTTTTTTACATTAAATTAGCATTTGTTTGGCATTTGAAAAAATATTTTTTTTCAAATTTATTATTANAAATAATTTTATACGTGAATCCATATCTTTCTTCAACTTTCTAACTCACATTCCACTGAAAAATCATTTTCCATTTCAAATAATCTCCCTCAAAAATCACTAAGAGCATGGTTGAGCCCCATTTGGATTTGCGTGTAATATTATTTTTTTGAAAAATGTGTAGTTGAAAAAAAGAAAGGAAAATATATTTTGGAATAAATAAGAATTAAACGAGAGCTAAAAACAATTAGAACGAGGGGGGACGAATTTTATTTTAACTATACTTTTTTTCAACATCCTTCACTAAGAAAATTGTGTGAAAAACTAAGCCGAAACAGTAAAATTCATTCCTCTACTAATTTTATGATATTTTTAGTCATGTTAATGGGAAAAAATTTCTAGTACTCTCAGTGTATGGAATATCCAATCATCTATATACTTATATAATTAGCATCTATATTAATTAATCGGGATCCACTATTTAATTTGGATTCAGACATGGATTCATGTGTCAAAAAGTGGCATGCAATACTGAGTTTTCATAATCTAGTAGAAGTTTTCAAATGATTCTACTTGTTGACCTTCAGATCTGGAGTGATGTAGTTAACCAATATATAACATTTCAAGTCAGATGATGAAGTATATTTGGTGTATGAGAGACACAATAAACAAAAAAATATAGGTGCCGAGTATGTAATTTACCTTTGGATGATAGAGAAACTATTATTATAGATGGAGAGGTGCGTAAAAAGAGATTCTTTTAGATGCTTGACACGTAATCTCATCCTATTAACTCATTTGTCATGTTTGTGTCAATCCATAAACATCATTGGTTTTTCGATTTCCATAACTTGAACAAAAGTTGAAAAGTTTTGATATGACCATGTCGCTGTTGTAAAGTCGGCATATGGATCACTTTGTACAGTTGTCTCTGCAACTTGGCTGAAGTGATGCTTGTATAAGAAGCTCATTGTCTCATATATAATATAGCAGAGAGGTGAAGTATCGTCTCGAATAATAATAATATTCAAAACGAGGTATCTAAAGGCATGACCAAATTGTCTTGAAAAAAGCACGTGAAAGGGGCGATGTAAAATGAAGTAGTGGCCTTAGAATACAGGTCCAAGGTTCATAGTATTATTACAAATAGCAATACCTATATAAAGCCCCTGCTTGTTTTTCAATATTGGAGCCTAAGAATTAATTTTTTGACCGTTTATTTTCAAACAGTGGGCCCCCTTATGAAACAAGGTCAAAAGTTGCGGCCAAAAAACTTGTAACGATCAGAAATTTCATTAAAATAAGGGAAACAATTGGAAACAAACAGGGGAAAAGTTAGTAAACAACGCGACATCTGAAATTGTTAATGTGACAAAGAATTAGTCTTCTAGTTTAATAAGACTTGAAATCAATGATTTCCTTTAGAAAGAAATTGTGTTGGCTAATACTTGCCTAGAAATACAGCCACCAAGATTTATTTTTTTATCAATCCTAGGTGCTTTAATCTAGAATAGACGCGTTTATAGGCAAATTATTTAATATGTCACTACTATAGAAAGAATAAACACTTCAGCATAACACATTAATAAGTGACTCCTCCAGAGGACAAAAAAAAAGTTTATTATTGTTGCCTTGTTTAAATAATGCATGTAGGCAAGAAGGGCTGTCTCTGCATGAGGACAAATAGAGAGGTGTTTGTGCTGCTCACATGAACAAAAACAATCAATTAAAGGGAATATAGTGAACTTTTTTGAAGATATTGATAAAATTTACCAGTTAACATCTGAAACTGGTCAAGATTCGAAATTGTAAACATGGTTACTGAACGCTTACCTAGACCACTTAACGAAGATTATTGTATAGTAATTTGGAGTAATTATGAGTCGATTATTTTTATTTTAGTATATATTTGTGTTTAAAATGAAATTACCGAGTAGAGAAAATTTAAAATATACAACTGATAAAGCTCCACCATTTTGTAATTTCTCATCACTATTATATACAGGGGAGGACGCATAAGTTTAAAGTTATGGGGTACAATTGAACTTGCAAAGAAATTTGAAAAAATTTTACAATCGAAAATTTATGTCCAAAAAAATCATACCCCATGTAATTTGCATCCGAAAATTTACATGGGATATGACTTTTTCATATGTAAAATTTCAAAAAAAAAAAATTATATCATATTTCATATAAAATTTCCTAATAAAAGGATAAAAATTACATTGAGAAATTTG